AAAAGTTGGATGATAATAGAAAACACACAATGACCTGAAAAACATAACTCTCAACCAAAAATAAAAATTCTCATTCACTAAACATAAGCATGAGACAAATAAAGTAGGGAAATGCATTTGCAGAAAAAAAAAATGTAGAGATGTGGCGTTAGTTATCGATGGACCATTTTTCGTACAATTTTTAAGAAAAACTTAGATGATCCGAATTGCTGTACGTTTGCTGTACAAAATCAAATGCTGGACAGACTCTCAAAATGCTGTACAATACCAAGAATGATACACACTACTACTATAGGATGGCTTATCCTCATAAGGCCTGTGAGTAACAAATCCCCCCTACCCCCCTTCGCCAGACAACCAGTTGTGACGTAAAAAGCATGGCGTTTCTTGCCTTGACGTAGGCTGTTTAAACAACTGATGACTTAGTTATGACGTCGGCAATGGTTGAAAACAGTTGAAAACCAGCATGGCGCCGATTACCTAAAATGAGGCCGATAAGCACTCCTTTAGAGTGTGTATTCTCCTTGGTACAATACAGCGAAATGCTGTACGTATGGTCACCCTAACCTCGACAGGTGTTAGCCCGCTGGATTTGCCTGGCAGCATAGCTGCCAGATTCTATCTTACGAGTCGAGTCGTAATTCGTATCGAATTGTCAAAATAACGATTCTATTTTACGATATTTCGATACCTATTACACGGTACGTCCGGAGCTGTCGTATTCGATATCGAGACAATCCGACTCGACTCGTAAAATAGAATCCGGGGGTAGAAATCAAATTTCTGACATCTTGACAGGGGTTAACAAAGTGACGTTGTGGTGACGTTTTTTTGACGTTTGGAGAAAAATGATAGGTTCGTTCCAACCCAGCCAAAAACCGTTCAATGTACGGTCACGGTCATGCGCCACAGGTTAAACGCGTTCCAACCGAGAGATGATCGTTTACCGTACAGTTTCGTTGGCGTTCCAACCAAACCTGGGATCGTTCGAGAACTGGTTTTAGCACCGTCATTTCGATCCTGAGTGGAAAGCAAGAACCGCGTGGACTGATTCATGACTGACATGCGTAATTCAATTTTTGTCACCTGTTGTTGTTGTTCATGTTGTTGTTAAACAACCAATTTCCAATCTAACTTATAAAACTGTAGCATTTTTATTTTTTTCAAGTGAAAAAAGTACAAAATTTATTATCAGCTATTTGCTAATCCTTGATGTTATCAGCTTGCAAGGATTCAGTTTTAGATTCTTGATAATGAATCAGCGTTGGTGTTCGATTTTCCTTTTTATATATTATTTTGTAATCCTAATCCTATATTCTTCTATTTTAATTTGCAAACAAACAAATTTAGGGTTAAAGTTATTTGAACTGTCGTCATTACGAAAACGATCATGAAACCGTTCCAACTACCCGTTGTTTCTGTACCAAGATAAAACCGTGCAAGGTCAACGCATGCGCCTGCAATCGATCCTAACAATTCCGAAACCGTTTCATGACGATACGAAAACGGGGGGTTGGAACGAACCTATTATTTTTGTGCTTATTATAAACAATTATTATAATTTAATTTAAAAAAAAGTTCTTCCCTTTCTGCTAGAAGCCCTAAATATTCTCCATATTCACTGGATTCACTGCTGCAGCTGCTTCCCATCCACGTATTTGCCATTAACAAGCGATTTTTGACATTTTTGGTAGTAGATTCGCAGACAAATATAAAAAAAAACAATAAGAAAATAAAATTTCGGACTGTTTTTGTATGAAAAACCATCAACCACCAATAATCTCAATTTCAAAATAACAATAAACAACTGCACTGAGTGCGACACGGGCTTTTATCCTAAAATAGTAGTGTGTATTATCCTGGGTTTGGTACCTCTACATTGCAAATCTCCATAAGGCACTCCAGTCGACGTCATTAAGTTACTCGTTACCAAACAACCTACTAACTTTAGGAAACTTGATCTTTTCCATCATACCTAATTTGATCGCTACAGTTGCACTACGTCCTGATGAACGCCACCATTAACTAAGCGTAAGTCCACAAACGTCACTAAAAGTGTCATTTTTAACGGATGCTGTCAGAGTCTAACATGCCATTTTATGACACTGGTGTGGTGTTAAAAGTAATCACTTTTAAGTGCGTTTGTAGAAAAAATTGTGTATGATATTCGTACTAAAAGTGATTTTATTTTGTTCAAAGGGATGGAACACTCCGCCTTCGGTGTCGTGTCCCAAAACTTTCCTTTTCACAAAATAAAATATCACTTTTAGCAGTTATATCATAAATAACTATTTATTTCATATGGATTAAAAGGCAAAAGGCAATGTTGCCAAAATGTAAAAAATAGATCACAGGCAAAAAAAAATCATGCGCAGCGCTGTAGGTACCTACACGTGATAGAAGTGAAACTTTTTAAAAACTATTTCTCCTAAAGACGGAAACCCACTAGCAACACGCCATTCTATACCACGCGACGCCATGTGACGAAAATGTATGCGTATATTCTTCCATTCATTTACATGTGCCGCGTACACACTTGCTACACGCGATACCACGACATAACACGTCCCGTCACCTATGTCACATGGCGTGGGGTAGCGTAGCATGGCGTGCCGTGTTGCTAGTGGGTTTCGGCCTTAATCCTCCTCGTACAACTTTTAGACTTAGCATGAGTCGAGGTGAAGACGAAGGAAAACGCGCCTCTGTAGTGACGTCACAAGGGTATCGTCGCCTGACAAGCATAGTTTATAATCCTTGGTTTGTGTCAATCGTTCGTCGGCTGTCATTGTCATTGGCTGTCTTTCTCTGTCCCTCTTTACGTTATCTATATTTTTCTCCTCTCTTGTGTAACGAAATTTGCCAAAATGTTACGAGTCTTCCAAATCGCTTTCCTTTCTCGTCCAAATATCAGACCGCCGCCTAAGAAGTTATTCACTTCAAAAAGCACAAATGTATAAATAACGAAAATAATCACAGAACACAATGATAATAGGTATGTTTCTGCAGAATTCACAAACCAGTCAGAGTGAATTTCATTGGTTGGAACTAGTTTTCTGACTGTTTTCAACCAATGAAATTCGCTCTGACTGGTTTGTGATTTCTGCAGAACCAGACCTAGTAGTATAACAAAAAGGGAGACGCGAATCTGTAATGACGTCACAAGGGTATCGGCGCTTGTCAATATTAGGCAATGGGCCACTTTCACATTTTTCAAAAACATATTTAAATTATTCTTTTAGTCATTCTAATACTATGTGTATACTTTTTTTCCGAAAAAAAAAACGCTTATTTTTGCAAAAAAAATTATTTAAAAATCAACAGCTGTATGCAACATCCTCTTTTAACCTAAAAACGCTTCTTAAAACTGGTCACTTTTGAAAATGCTTATTCTAAGCCATACAAATTTTTGAAGGTACCAGTTTTAAGAAGCGCGAAGAGGATATTGCATACAGCTGTAAATTTTTAAACTGGCGCGAAAACGCAAACTTGGTTTGTGACGTCACAAACCAGAAAATCAACAAAAATGCGAGGATGCCAAATTTCTCATTAGTAAATCATTGCACATTTCACTAGCTAGAAACTATTTTTGTCCCATTTGTCCACCAGTGGCCCATTCTCTTTTACGCCTATAATCCTTGCTTTGTGTCAATCAATAGCTATCATTCTCCGTCTCTTTACGTGCCTATATCTTTCTTCTCTCTCGAGTAACGAAATTTGCCCGTGACACGTTTTTCAAATCAATCTCCACTGTCATCCAAATATCAGACCGCCGCCTTAAGAAGTTTCACTTCAAAAAGGCGGTTCCTAATAAAATGCGATTTTGCTGAAACCGTTATATAAGCGTTTCTATATCCTGTATACTTATTGATATTTGTTTTGGTCAACTACAACTACAACATTGTTAGCATCAACTTACCTACATATTTGAAATAGTAGGCCTTGAGGGAAACGCTGATCCGATTATCCCGATCACAGACATTTTGTTTTCCATCTTTCTTCAATGAACACGATTGAAAAAAGACAAAGTATATCAGCTGGTGATCGGGTTAATCGGATTCGCGTCTCCGTAAAGGCCTAGTGTATTACGACTATTACGTATGTGTTGTAAACAGACGAATAAACGCGGTAATTCCACTCATGTATAAATAATCCCATTTGAAATGTCATAAATCGTAGTTTGCTAGCGGATAAATAGGAAGGAAGAGAAAATATAACTGGATAAAAAAATCGGATAAATTTTCTGTTGATGCAATCGTTACCGTAGTAACAATTGCATATAAAATTGGTTTTTGAATCATCTGTCAAATAATTGTCACAAAAATTCACAAGTTCTATCATTTTAGCTTATTAAAAGTGTATTTTTAAATAAAATTAAAAAAATTTTCAACATGCAGCGATTTGGGACAATTAAAGATGAATTAATAGCGAAATAGAAAATTCAATTCCTGAGAACACAGAGTCTTCTTCTCTTTCTGTAGAGTCAAATTTTAAGGAGCAAAATATTTATTCTAATTGTACCTTTAATAACTGTTCATTTTAAAAAGTATTTCCATATTTTATTTTGATTATGCATTCGTGGAATTGCCGTACTAAATACCATTCGAGCTCAGATTTTGAGCAGGATATTTTTTTGCTTGCTCTCTCATACTTACTTTCATGCAATTTATCTCGATCTGTTCCACAAAATCACTCGAGCTGCGCTCTCGTGATTTTGTCGGAGCAGCTCTCGTTAAATTTCCTAAAAGTAAGTATTCGAGACCAAGCCAAAAAATATCCGGCTAAATCTGAGCTCTTATGGTATTACCTACGAATATTTTTTTTTCTTCAAGACCTTGCGTTTTTTCGATAGTTAAAGCAATGATTACCCACATTGGATTGATTTGTTTAATTTCTATAATTTTCTCTACCTACATTTACAGAGTAATTATTGGTATTGCAGGAACGTAATGCAAACCAACTAACCTGTAACCAGTTAACAAATGGGAAAAACTAAAACAATGTTAAACATAACTTTTTAAAATTATTATTTGAATAAGCACATATCGTAGGTACATAAAAAATTACAATTATTACGACTAGTTTATATTTCTCCTGAATTTGGATCATCAAAACAGCTACTACTTGATTTTTACAAAATAAATTAACATACTATCAATTTGGTATCAAATAATCAAAAACTTTGCTGAATATTACCTATCTTTATTTATATTATCTGATAACATTGCACCATATGTTTATTGAGAAGGAAAAAAAGGGGGACCTACATTAATATTTTATACATTTAAATAATTCAAACATACCACAAAACGCTAGAATCAAAAAAGTTTATTGTTAAAATAATTGAACTTAAGCTGAGCAAACTTCTGTAAAATCCGGATACATTATGCTTTTCATGAATACCAATGTCTTCAAATCAAAAATAAATCTTCTGTATGAGAATCTAATCAAACTAACTCTTTACCACATCTAAAAATCACAATAATAATTATTACAGTTTATTTTATTACACAAATATGAATTTGTTCAAATATTTTACAGCCAGTGCAAAATTTCAGTTTAAATGTTCAAATTTATGTAATAAAACCGTCTGTTAGGGTCGTTTAAAGCCAAATAAAAAGACCTTATATTTAAAGTTACATTATACATTTATCTTTAATTGGATATAAGTGGTTTTTCCTTAACAGCAAGCTGATCCTTGAGAGCCTCCTACACCGCCTGCTCCAGGCAGAGAAGGGTTTGTTGGGGAATGTTGCGGACCAATCTTTATACCATTGGCCTGAGAAGAAAAGAATTTATTGATAGAAGTATTCATATAATTGGATGACTTTGAGATACAAAACTCAAGCGAATTTGTGACTTTGTGTCAGATTTTAGTAAAGGGGCCAATAAAACTTCTTACCTCATTATTTATATCAAAAACACCTTCTTGTATTTTTTCATAAATTTCCTTAGCAGTATTAATGAAAGCTTCTTCAACATTTGCTGCAGTTTTCGCGGAAGTTTCCATAAAAACTAAACCATGCTCCCTGGCAAAAGCTTCGCCTTCCTCTTTTTTCACTTCACGTCTCGACTCCAAATCACTTTTGTTTCCAATAAGCATAATGACCATATTTGAATTGGAGTGCTGCCTGGCATCGTCCAACCACGTAGTTAAATGGTTGAACGTTTCCCTTCGCGTGATATCGTAAACTAATAAAGCTCCAGCGGCTCCTCTGTAGTAACTTCTTGTTATCGACCTGAAAGCTTCTTGGCCGGCAGTGTCCCAAATTTGCAATTTGATTTGTTTACTGTCGATTGTGATCATTCTTGCACCAAACTCCACGCCGATTGTCAGATCGTGAACTGGCTGAAACCTTTTGTCTGTGAACTGCAGTAGTAAACATGATTTTCCCACACCTGTAAATTTTTAATTTATGAGTTACCTGATATTGGTGATTTTTAAGACAAAAAATAGTAATTTGGTAGAGGGTGATAATAGTAACACTCAATATGGCACTCTTATGAACAACTTAGTAATCTGAACACAATATTTTGTGCCATTTTAGCCAATCTTTCCTCTAAACAAACCCATTTCAAACATCATCATATTTTTAGGGTTCCTTTAACAATTTCAATAAAATCAAAGATAAAATTAAATATTAAACGGGTTTGGTACAATAATGTTTGATTCCTTCAGGCACCCAACAGATCCTATACCTAAGCACTCCAAAAAGTTCAAATTCCTCTTAGATGAAACAAAACCCATTTTTTGAAAGGGACTTCACCAACATTTTCATATTGATCCAATGCAAATTTTCAATTGAATCAGAATATATTAAAAATATATTTTGTATGCAATAGATAAGTACAGCTGACACAGATATGTAATCAAAATGTGGCTACATTCACGTCAGTAAGTCAACTACTCTTTTGTCAACTTGTCTTGTCATTCACGTCAGTAAGTCAACTACTCTTTTGTCAACTTGTCTTGTCATGCTACTCGTGTTACAGAGCTTTTTGTCTTTGTCGGATTATTATAATTAGCTATAAATAATAGTCTGATGTATTATCAATGAACGTTTTTTACTACTTTTGAGCCTTTGTCGACATTATTTCTCACTATCACTGGATATTGTGAACAGGACAGGCACCATCATTTATTTTTTGCCAAGAAAACTGGATCATCCACAATCTTACAACCACTGAATTCGATCAATTACCATCAGGTTATGGGCACAGGACGGGTATTCAAGACATTGTGGATTTCAGCAAGTCAGCAAAGTCAAGTATTTTCTGCTCGATTTTCAGGGAATGAAGGTGATTCGGTGAAGTTCTAGATAGTGATCAAGTGGAAGTTTTGAGAATGACTCTATGGAAAATCAAAAGCAGATCAGATTACATGATCGTGATAGAAGATCTTTAAAACTACCTACAAAAAGGAATGATTATGAGCCGGTTTCTCAATAGCAAGTCATTCTCGGGTTCGAATATTTCCTATTTAATTTACGTTGCACAGGAGGAAAAAATATTAAAAAAAGAAAATTTGAGATAGAAAATATATCTGCTTCGATTGATGCCTTGATATCTGGCTCTTCGTCAGAAGACGAACAGGATACAATTTACTTAGAAAGTGAATTCGAGTGCGAATCTTCGAATCCGAATCAGAAAAAGAAGATACTCGGAAAGAAATAAGCGAGGAAAAAAATGCAGCAAGTTTAATACTCAATGAACATTATTACTCAGTCTATTATGATAAGGACTGGTTCATTGGTAGAGTTATTAGTTCAGTAGATGAAAAGGCATATGTAGTAAAATTTCTACAAAAGAATTTCGATAAATCTTTATGGCCAAAGAGGGAAGACACTCAGGAAATAAAGAAAGAGTTTATCTTTGATGGACCCATTCAGTTGGAAGGAAATGAACCATTCACACTGAAAAGGCATGATTTATTTAAAATCAAAGAAAAATACAGATCCATGAAAAGAGGATTGAGGTTATCGTCTTAGGCATAGTTATAACATCTCACATTTAAAATATACAGGGTGAGGGTGTCTGGAAAATAGCGTAAAAGCTCTTCACTACGTGGTGGAGGACTCTTCAAGGAACCCCAGAAAAATAATTTGAAAAATCTGGTGGCATTCTTAAGAAAGTTATTAGCTTTCAATGTTTGAGATTGGCAACACTGAATATATCCCGTCAACAATTTGACACAGAATTGAATTAAATACCTATGTAATAAACTATTACGTAATGAATCAACAAAAGATACCTAACACCTTGTACGAAATATTGTTTGCCCAGCGGATCTGAGTCTACGGAAGGAATTCGGACGTAAATGGGCCATGTTGCCACGTTTAATTATAAAAAAGCGAAAATACCAGACATGACGTATAGTTAATTTGAAAATCCATTTTTTAATAACAAAATATCGATAAAAATAATAAAACGCTAAATATTTTAACGTGGTTGTTAGATCTATTCTTATTTTAATCCTGATTTCTTCAATTTGGTGTATTGTAAAAAATAAATATTTTCTAAAGATATCATCAGCTTTTGACAATTTGGCAAGCATCCGGCCTGGATGAACCTGATTGGTGGAGTTTTTGGCAGGATCGCCGTTGCCATGGGGAACCATACGGTTGTCAATGAGCTAACGTCACCTTACGTCTCGCTATTGGCCAGGGCTCATGTCATTTCATCCTCCCATCTCGGAATATCGATTTATATTGAAATATCCAGTGGCGGAGATTTGGTCATTGCCGATTTTCATGTACGAGTTGCAATACGATAACACTTCCAAAAAGTTCCGCACGCAGCTGGGTATTTTATGAATGAAATCAGCCATTTTTTTTTTACAACTGCATTCCCCTTACCGTTGCCCCGTAGACACAGAGTCGCTGGGCAGACATTACATATTGTAAGTAATTTGAAAAAAAAAATCAAAAATAAGGAAGTTGAAATTCTACATGTCCCAAATTTGAGGTTGACCATTGAGATATCGGAAACTATAAGAAATATGAGGATTTATGGAATGGAAATTATGGCAAAGTTGCGCAATTTTATGACCAATAAAATGCCGTTTTGAAATTTGAAAAATTCCGAATACTTCCGAAGATATTCGGAAAAAACCAAAATTTTGCAAAATCATTTTTATTTTTTCCTGTGTCTATTTGAAGAGAAATTTTAAAATAAATGTCACTTCATTATTGTTACTTTTTTCCCTTTACAAGATGTTGCTACCAAATTTCAGATTCGACGTTTCGTCTTTGGGCGGCCATCATCAACTTCGTTTTTCTAAATATGGACCTGATTTTTTTTTTCAGACCTTAAGAGTTTCTGCAGTTATTCGAAAAAGAATTTAATTACTTTTCAGAAATTTCCTACCAAAATTATCTTCTCTGTTACTCTCTCTAACACATTAAGTTCTTATGGAAAGTGCCAATAATATAAATTTTTCGAATAAGTGCAATACCTTATTGGTTTTAAGACATCAGAATCTCTTAAAATCTGGAATAGAAAATAAGAGTCCGTATTTAAAAAACTGAAGTTGATGATGTTGGCCCAAAGACAAAACGTCGAATCTGAAATTTGGTAGCAACATCTTGTAAAGGGGAAAAAGTGACAATGATGAAGTGACATTTATTTTGAAATTGCTCTTCAGATAGACTCAGGAAAAAATAAAAATGATTTTGCAAAATTTCGGTTTTTTCCGAATATCTTCGGAAGTATTCGGAATATTTCAAAACGGCATTTTATTGGTCCTGAAATAGGGTACTTGGATGGAAAATTAAATTGATTATTGTTTATTGCAATCTGTAGGAAATCGAAAAAAAATCGTTACTTTTTTTAAATTTCGCCCAAATAGGTATGATTATTCCGGAAGTTATACAAATATTAAGTTTTGTATATATAGATATACTGAGCATGTGCAACGTCACTAATTTATATGATAAGTGACGTCATAGGCATATTTAATAGCGTTGTATGTCCGTCAATTTTTGACTAAGAAAAAAAAAGAAAAAACACGTGTTGACTTATTTTTAATGGACTATCGAAATCAGCAATAAAAAAATTTGATGCAAGGAGCCTATTGCGCAACTTTGCCATAATTTAACCGACCTCATATTTCTTATATTTACCGATATCTCAATGGTCACCCTCGAATTTGGGACACCCTGTATACAGGGGCGGATGGGGCCCCTCAGACCGGCGCGGGAAGTCGATTGAAACGGCGCCGCGCCTGTTCAGCAAAAAGAAGTGAAAAGTACAAGCGATCGACTACTGCGCATACCCTTCTCTTGAGTTGAATAAAGACAAGACGACGAAATTACTCTATTTGCCGATAATCGGAGCCGCGCCGCTCGAAGGTCAGTTCTCACAGAAATTACAAACGCAACGTTTTTGATTTGCACAATTCGATAACAACCAGTTTTTTGACTATTTTCAACTAATGAAATTCGCTGTAACTGGTTTGTGATTTCTGTGAGAACAGACCCAGTGTACGGAGACGAACTCTCTTTGTAGGCCGTCTTTTTCTCCATCTCCATCATACCTACATGCAATCTGGAATAATGAAAAGAGGCAGACGAACACGAAGATACCTCAAAACGGAACATAGCGTTCGAATTGCAAAGTTGCCAATTGCCAAATCAATTAATAAATTAGCTATCTGGCATTTTTGCTTTTTTAATCACTTTCGAGCTTCCCGCGACGGCGCCAATCGGCGCCTGATGGACCGGCGCACCGGGAAATCTCCCGGCATCCCGGTGGGCCCATCCGCCCCTGCCTGTATACCTCTTCATATTTCCAAGAATGATCGAGAAAGATTTTTTTAAATATTCTTCCAATGTTACACAAAGGATCCCCTACTACGTAGTGGAGAGCTTTTACGCTATTTTCCGGACACCCTGTATATGGTAAGGAGAAGTTATGGGTTGAGGACAAAATGAAATAAAACTTCCTTATTTGAAAATTTGCCAAAGTTTCGACCTTTTATTCAGGTCTTTATCAAAAATACCTGAATAAGAGGTCAAAACGTCGGCAAATTTGTAAATAAGGAAGTTTTATTCCACTTCGTCCTTAACCCACAACTCCTCTCTACCATATTTATTACTTTGGAGGATACAATATTTTCACTATTTCATGTATTCACTACTTATGATATGTATGTAAAAATTGTAAATGTTCAAAATAATTTGTTCAGTGTTCAGTACATTTCGAGGTACATTTATTTAGATTTAAGATGGCTTAGTAAGAATCGGGCTTCAAATAAAGTTTTATTTCATGTGACACTTAATAGACCGATCTCCTATTACCTGGACTGCGCGCGTTGCTTGTAGGCTGCAGAGTGCAGGTGAGCGTCCAATGAGAAGCAAGTTTATGACAGGCTTGCGTCATATTCTTATTCAGGAGCCAGTTCAGAATGAATCGTTCCTTCTTTCTTTGTAACGTTTATTTGACAAAGAGCAAACTAATGCTTTACATATTACTTGAACTCACCGCAGTTTCGTTTAAGGTTATGTTAGATTATACTTGACATATTCCTTTGCAGTTTCATTGAGCGATGTTGCCGGATGAAACATTTATCAAAATAAAAGTGCAAACGATGTTTATCCACTTTAAAGCTCTTCTTTTGTCTGATTTAAGGCGTTGTGAAACACTTGAGACTATATTACTTCCTTAATGTTATAATGTTCGATTTGTATTGTCTACATTTGTTCTGCAACAATACAATCTGGCTACACTGCAGCCTACGAGTTGCGCGCGCATGTCATCTTTTATTGTTTTCTAACTTGTATTTATTACAATGAAGCTCTCTTTTTCTAATCATGGGAGATAGGTCTATTATTCCTAATAACTTGTAATAAATGGCAATAAAACGTAATAACTGGAAATAATAGTAGATTACCTATACCACGAGTCAATAATGATAGCTATTATTCCCGAGGATTATTACGAACTGAGCCGCGTTAGCGGCGAGGGAGTAACATTCCGAGGGAATAATAGCCATTATTGCGAGTAGTATACTCTACTTTATTTACGACAAATTAATTTATTTGAGATTTTCAATGAACAAATTTCATCTGTCTCATAATTGTCAATACAAATCCACAAGCACTACACGTTTGACACTGACACTTTTATGCAATAATGATCATTAATCCCGCTACTCGTCAGTAATCCCTGGAGGAATAACATATGTCATTATACTGCCAAAATCACAAATATAATAAGCACATTATACATTAGTCGTAAATAAAATGTAATAATTACGTAATAACTCATAATAGATGGCAATTAAACGTAATAACTGGAAATAGAATGTAATAATCACGTAATAACTCATAATAAATGGTGATAGCCAGTAATATTTGGTAATAAATTACGAAAACGGTAATAGGTGTACAAATTTTGGTGGGTGCTTGACCCCTCGGCATAAATATTGATATTTTCGTATTTTTTCCAACTCGGACTTCGAATCTTGCCATGAAATTAATAGGGTACTATTTCAGCACGATCTCCAACCCCCATGCAAAATTCCATCAACTCAAACCCCGTCAAAATATGAAAAACTACCCTTAACAAGTAAAAATGCATAAATATGGATATTTTCGTATTTTTTCCAAATCGGACTTCGAGTCTTGCCATGAAATTAATAGGGTACTATTTCAGCACCATCTCCAACCCCCATGCAAAATCCCATTAACTCAAACCCCGTCGAAATATGAAAAACTACCCTTAACAAGTGAAAATACATTATTCTTGAGATTTTCGAATTTTTTCCAACTCAGACTTCGAGTCTTGCCATGAAATTAATAGGGTACTATTTCAGCACCATCTCCAACCTCCATGCAAAATCCCATTAACTCAAACCCCGTCGAAATATGAAAAACTACCGTTAACAAGTGAAAATGCATTAATATTGAGATTTTCGTATTTATGCCTTTTCACTTGTTAAGGGTAGTTTTTCATATTTCGACGGGGTTTGAGTCAATGCGATTTCGCATGGGGGTTGGATATGGTGCTGAAAGAGTACCGTCATAATTTTGTGGCAAGACTCGAAGTCTGAGTTGGAAAAAAATACGAAAATCTCAATATTTATGCATTTTCGCTTGTTAAGGGTAGTTTTCCATATTTCGACGGGGTTTGAGTTAATGGGATTTTGCATGGGGGTTGGATATGGTACTGAGAGGATACCCTATTAATTTCATGGCAAGACTCGAAGTCCGAGTTGGAAAAAATACGAGAATCTCAAGATTAATGTATTTTCACTTGTTAAGGGTAGTTTTTCATATTTTGACAAGGTTTGAGTTAATGAGATTTTGCATGGGGGTTGGATATGGTACTGAGAGAATACCCTATTAATTTCATGGCAAGACTCGAAGTCCGAGTTGGAAAAAATACGAAAATATCAATATTTATGCATTTTTACTTGTTAAGGGTTGTTTTTCATATTTCGACGGGGTTTGAGTTCATGGGATTTTGCATGGGGGTTGGAGATGGTGCTGAGAGAGTATCCTATTAATTTCATGGCAAGACTCGAAGTCCGAGTTGGAAAAAAATACGAAAATCTCAATATTTATGCAATTTCACTTGTTAAGGGTAGTTTTTCATATTTCGACGGGGTTTGAGTTAATGGGATTTTGCATTGGAAATGATATTAGAATAGTACCCTATCAATTTCATAGCTAGACTCGATGTCTAAGTATGGTTTATTGAATTTAAATTGAATTAAAAAACAATGCTACACCACTGGTCATTCGGGCGTTTCCGTCAAATTGGCTGCCAAGTTTTGGCTACTAACTTCACACCGGTACTATTCAAGAAGATTTAACAATCAACCAAAAGTAAGTAACTGGCAAATGGTGAAACATATTTTTTAATATTTAAAAGGGACTATTTGTACTGGAATATATACTTTAACAGAGATCCAAAACTTATAGCATACGCAGATTATGACTATAGGAGAGGAGAGATACACTGACAGGACCCTCCACTAGTGAAGTACCTATACCTCGACTTATAATATATGGTGGACTCATTGTATGGTATGCACAAAAGCAAAGACAGGTAACAATTTCTAAGGCTGAAGCTGAATATCGAGCTGTGGTGTGGTATCTGCTATAGATGACACTTGTTGGATTCAATGTATAGGAAGTGGCCTTGGTTTAATAAATATTGAAAGCCTAACACCTTTATATGTGGAACATGGATCAGTTATTGATATGCTCAAGAATGAAGGAAAAATTACAAAAGGAAACAAAGTATAATATTGAGATACCAAGGAAGTTTATACAAGAGCATGTTTATAAAATAATTAAATTGAAACATATTAAGAGTACTGATTAATTGGCACATATCTTGACTAAACCTCTACAGTCAAAAAGTATTTGGTAATTTGGAAGTAAAAATAATTAAGGAGGAATGTTGGGATGTAGTTATTTTATTTACATATCAACAATTAAGAAGGCTGGATAATAATAATTAATGTTTTCTCACTTGCAAATACCAATATAAAAAAATGAGTCAGTGGGTAATGAATATCTAAAATAACATCAATAGTATAGTATTTAATTGAAGAAAGCTTATCTTTGTTCAAGAATTGATAAACAAAGTAGGTACCTACTATCAGTCTGCCAGGGGAAATTTGGTAATTATTCATAAATGTATTTTAAATTTGCTACCTTGTGAGGTTACATATTTGATACTTCTGAGTTTCAGATAAGTACTAATGAAACCTGATAACATTATGGGTATATGAAAACTTAAGATGGAAAACGCATATTTTTTTTCAGATTAATTTCTAATGATTCTGCATTCTACAAGAATAAGAGAGATAAGCGAATCTAGTCACATTGTTCATTAAGTTTTATAGAAAAATCATTAAAGTTAATGGAGGAATGAGAGTTTTCTCACACCTACGCACTAGTAGTATATTGGACGAGTATGGAAAGCACAAAGAAGGCCAAATATACAATAAACCACCAATGTGTATGATATATACTTGTGATCACCCATTCTGTGACGCATCTGTTTATTACCAAACTAACAATTACTTCTTTGTTTGGAGAGATTTTTCACATTTTTCGATAAGAACAAAAATTGATTTTCAAAAGCAAAACATATTTACACAAATTCGAGCCAAAAATTTAACATGTTGAAGTATCTCACCTGTGTCCCCGATTATGATATACTTAAACAAATACGCATACGACATTTTCTTCAAGGATTAATTGTAAATAATTATTGGAGATATAATATTAAAAAAACAACTTGGTAGAATACTAAAATAAATTATGACAGCTGTTTTTGTGCTAGATGACAGACGGATTGCGCATAAAAGTCAATCAATGAAATTTTAAACTGGCGCCATCTATTATCAAGGCATTGAACTAATCGATATTTGTTAAATTTGATGATTCTTGATACAATGGCGGAGGTAGTAAAGAACAAAGAAAGTTAACAACGGGAACATGTGGGAACCCTTCCTTGGGAAAAACATAATAACGTGTTTTCAAAAAAAAACAATGCCCAATAGTTTTAAATCATTGAGTATGACATCCTTGAAGCGTTCGTATTGACCCCCCTGTCTTCTTGCAGCTTGCACCTTCTGTTAATTCACCACACAAAACGGTTTTCGGTAAATGCTGTTCGTCCATTCTGTACACACATGGATCTTGCTCTTTTCACTAGGGTCTTAATGTTTGAACAATTCGACCTTTGCAGAACCTCGTTGGTAGAAACTTTATGAAACGATCTGATTCTCATCTATTATTGTCGTTGTTATCGGTGCTGGAATTTTTCAAGAGATTCTTTCGTCGTCTGATATGGGATCCACGGCTCTGCTCATAGCGTTGGTGCAATTACCGCTCTATGAACCTACCGCCGTTTTTGTTTGAAGACTTATGGCAGGTTTACACCGACCATATTAAAGGGAGGTTTAATGATAATCTACGCTTAGGCCCAGTTGTAAAATCTTGGTTCAAAACAGAGTCCAGCGTGGTCCAGCTGAACTCGACTGTTACTTGAACTTCCCCATTGAAAAGCTCAAGTATAGTTCGCCTTACGAGTTTAGACGACGTCTGAAGGGCAAGGGGGAATAACGCCATTAATTTCGAGCTTTATGCTGCGCGGCGTTTTTAAATATTACTTTTTCCTTATAAATGTAGGTGTGTAACATAGATAAATATTAAGGTATATTTTCTATTGGAAGTCAAATAGGCAATAGTGCAATTTTTTTATCCGCATTCTTTCCATAGTGCTAGACTCGTAAGGCGAACTTTACCAGTCGAGTTCAGTTGAACTTTGTTTTGAGCCGAGATTGTACAGCTGGGCCTAAAAGTGACATTTTTGTAAAAATGTCACTTTAAGCTTTGATTATTGTTAAACCTTCCTTAAAATGGTCGGTGCAAACGGCCATTAGATCATGATTGTAAAATAAGTACCTAGCTACTCGATCTTGCTGACTTGCACCAATATGATTTTACCGTGGAACTTATTCTGTTTGTTATTTCCTCGTCTATATTTAGTTCTTTACTAAATACACTAGGTAGGTACCTAAGTAGTCTAGGCGATCTACTATTGTTTCGAAGTCTCACCATTGACCTGTATGAGTTGAGGATTATCTATTGTAGAGTTGTGAGAAGGATGGTTCTCGACGTATTCAGTTTTAGACCCAAGGCTTGATATGCCCAAGCCAAAGACAAGCGTAAAGAAGCAAGAATTTCTTCAAAAATATCTGCTAAGAAAGCTGTTTTTTTGCTCTCTGACGTTTTAAATTAGAAAAAAAACTTTGGTTTTTTTAATATCTCTGAGCTTGGTTTACGCAGCAATATTTTGAGGGTTACGGGGCGTTTTCCTGAGCTACCTACGAAGGTACTTGCGTTCCAAAAGAGGTTTTATCGGGTGGTCGTTGTCTTTGAACCAGTCTGGCTGCAAATGTCTATTAGGTTTTGTTTAACTGACACCCAGTGTTCCTCTAGATCTTGGGATAATTTTGGTTTAAAGTTTGCCTTTAAGTTTGGCCAGTACTAAACGATGATCAGTCCAGCATTCAACGTCAACTCTGGTTTCAGTAATTTGCACTTTGCACTTCGTTTAGTTTTTTCTGGTTTACGTACGTAGTCCATATAATATATGCCAGGGATGACACCAAGACCAAGTACCTACCCTTGTATTTTTCATTCATTTGAAAGAAGGTATTCGTTATCGCTAGATCATGTTCTGTGCACAATTCCAATTTCCAACAGCAATTCTCCGTTTGAGTTAACCTTTCCGATTCCGTGGGCCCCAATTACTCTCGGTCGCTTTGCCATTTTTGCCAACCCTGAGCATTGAAATCTCCCAAGAGAATAATGTTTTCTTTTTCAAGTACACTTTCTAAGATGTTGTTTCGTCATAGAATGATTCCTTCACTTCGGGGCCTGAGTCCAGTGTGCGATATGTTAACATAATTTCCATTAACAAATTGGTATTTGAGCAACTATAAGTCTCTCGAAAATGCCATAAGGCAGTTGTTGGAGTGATTTGACGATCTTTATCGCGAAACCGACTCCGAGCAGCCTTCTGCCGTCCTCCGGATAACCTTTCCAGAAAAAGGTATAATTCTGCTCGATAAAAGAACCTTTTCCGAGTGGGCGGGTCTCAGAAAGGGCGGCTATGTCGTGAAGACGGTCTAGTTGGTCTGCCTATAACTGGGTGAGTAGCAATGTCAGAATCATGCAAGGTACGGAACGTTCTAGGTAGCTAAGGACGGGTTCTTAGTTTTACGTTTGTTGTTAAATTTCTGATAGTTTGTTTGAGCAGCCTACCTTTACCGGAGATCCAATTGGGAAGGCATTCTACCTCCGCATTGTTTTGTCCTATCCCAACGATTCATCTTCTTAACGTAGTCTGCGACTGTGGTACTGTCGGAATCGGAAAGAACCAAGCCACTGGGAGCGCTATTTTGAACAGCTCTCGGTATCGGTAACTGTTACTTACCGACATTGGTTGGCTAATCGCACCCGGCGACATTCCCAGGGTCGCCATCACAACCAGAAATATGTATAATGCAACAATAATATAATACAGTTGATATAGGCACAACCACACATATAAGTTGTATTCCTTTCAAGAGTTTGAAACACTCGAGCTACTCGCTGCGGTGTTCAGTCGCCCCTGATTTGCAGGGAACAGATGCGTGGTGCAACAAACACTTTTTTCGAAAGGAATAGGGGCGTGAAGCCCCGGAGCTGTTCCGGGTGTGAAAGGAATACAACTATAGTTAAATGTATCATAAATATATTGTTAATTGTTATTGTTCCTTCACAAATATTATTGTTTTTTTCAACTAACAACTAATTTTAATATCGGCAAATTCCCTTATCGCATCATCGTTATTCAGTTCTAATTTCTTTTTAAATTTTAATTATTTTAACATATTTTTTTATAAATCTGGAATTTACCATATTAGTTAGGTTAGAATCTCAAATTGGCGCGGGTTCCTAGTTCAAAAATTAATGCATTGATGTCTTATGGGCAATCAATTTTAAAAGCATCTGTAGACGTGATAGAACGTTTGTTAGGGGAATAAAGTTGTATAAATAGTTTTTTTAGTATGTTAATTACCTGAGAGAGTGATTGAAAATTGAATAAACATTGTTAAAATGAAAATATCACTAATTTAAAAAGGCGTTGATTGTTCAAAATACGTATGTCGTTGCTTGATGCATAAATACAGGGTGTCCCACGGTGGATGGCGTATTAGACGTTTATGGAGAGCTAAAAAGCGGATCATTTTGAAAATTTGGCAACCGGGATAAACAACCATGATCTACACTTTAAAAATATTTTTGACCATGCGGTGTTGCCGCTTCTACTCTAAACTAGCGGCAAGACCACTATTTTAAATGGAACACCCCGTATTAAATTGCATATTTGGATTCTACATAAAATTCTGAGCAGATTTCATGTGATATACCCTATACCTAAGTTCAACTGTTTTGGAAATATTGACAGTTGAAAATAGACTTTTTGCAACTTTGACAGGCTGTAGAACCTGAACAGTTAATTTTAGATGAAAACCGATTTTACATTCCTATCTTAGATTTTTATAAACTATCATTTGACACCATCTTTGAATTAAATCCATGATTAAAAATTTCAGTTAAATTTAATCTCCGGTTAAGTTCAAAGTTGGTGTCAAATGATAGTTTATCAAAATCTAAGATAGGAATGTGAAATCGGTTTTCCTCTAAAATTAACCAATTAGGTTTTACAGTCTGTCAAAGTTGCAAAAAGTCAATTTTCAACTGTCAATATTTCCAAAACAGTTGAACTTAGGTATAGGGTATATCACATGAAATCTGCTCAGAATTTTACGTAGAATCCAAATATGCAATTTAATACGGGGTGTTCCATTTAAAATAGTGATGTTGCCACTAGTTTAGAGTAGAAGCGGCAACACCGCATGGTCAAAAATATTTTTAAAGTGTAGATCATGGTCGTTTATCCCGGTTGCCAAATTTTCAAAATGATCCGCTTTTTAGTTCTCCATAAACGTCTAATACGCCATCCACCGTGGGACACCCTGTATATATAGGTACCTATTATTATAATAAAATAAAAGTGTACCTACATACTTGGTTAGTATAAGTATTTTTAATACCTATTTAGAAGTACCTGTCGTTTTAGTGACAAAACGTATGTCTCTTCTTGACACACAAATAAAATGAGGTTAGGAATTTCCTATTTGTAGATGAAATTGACGTATTAGCAATCGACGTTCGTTTTTGTTGGTAATTTTTTGTTTCATCTGATTCGTGATTGATAAATGATAAATAAGGATGGGGTTATTCTAAATGGGTATTAGAAATGCTATAGATGTACTTCAATAATCCAAAAAAATCGAAAAACAATGTCTAAACTAGTGATAATAAATAAATAAACAACTCACCGACGATCATAACACAACACAACCTCACTTTCTTACAGCTGGTTTTAGACCCGACGTGTACGTCCACGGAAAACAGACACTTTTTAGTTAAAATCATTTGTATTTTTTAATCATAGGTCTAAAAGAATAATTAGAGCATGAATTGTAGAGAAATATGTTCAAATCTTATTGCCGTATAATACTTTCAAATACTAAGAAATGCCCAGAACCCGACATAAGTATTTCCGTCTGAAAATTACTCTTTTGAATCCCCCATAAGAAATACATTGCTGTCCAATTTGTTGAAATGCGTTTAGGAACCCATTTCAAATTTCGCGCCCGATTTTTCCTAACCTAACTAATATGGTGAATTTGGAGTACCTATATTCCACCCATATTCCACCTCT